AAACAAAATGACTTCAAGAGGTTTCAGTCTTAGTAAAGGGAAGGGGGGGTAGGGGCGGCCTGGGAAGGGGTTGGAGGGGGGGGTAAAGGGGGTTTTTTGTGTGCGGGGGGGCTTGGACTTCCAGCGGGGCCATGCTGAGCGTTTTTTGATGGGATAAAATGGAGAAAAAGGGTTTTTTAATACTTGACGTGCTTTTGGGAGTTTTGGCAAAGTAACATTTATAAAGGGTTTTTTCGGGGAAACCCGGCGGGCCCGGATTTGGGAGCCCCGGGAGAGGGGAAGTACGTGCCTGCATTCAAAAGGGGGGGTTTAAATTTTGCTTTTTTAAAAACTGTATGAAAGCACCCTTCTGGAAAAAGAAAAGGGGATGGAGTAAATGATGGGAAAGTTTTTTTTTTTTGGGGCCCCAACCCCCCTTGGGGGGAATGGGCCGGGGGGGGATAAAAAAAAAAAAAATTTATATATAAAAGGTTAAAAAGGGGACACTAAGCAAACACAAAACATATTTATTAGAAAACGTTTGGGCCCTGCGACCTTGATCACTTTAACTACAGGGGTAAAAAAGACTTTAATATATAGGCGGAGAGGGGAGATGTGACGCACGTGCCCTGGGGAAATTTCTAAAAAACATTTTTTTTTTTTTTTTTAGGAATGGGGGAACACTGTAGAAGGCCTACGGGGCTAAATGCGAGGCAGGTCTTTATCAAAACAACCCCTACCATGTGAGGACGGGTTTAAAGATGAAAAAATGTGACTCCTGGTTGTTGGGGTTTTGTCCAAGAAATATGTAGGGAGACAGGAGAGATTTTGCAGTTTTGCCCGAATGAGCAACGAAATGCCCCTAACAAGACGATGTAAGGAAAGCCTGGTTCCCCCACAGAGGGCTCCACGGGGGTTTTTAATGAACTGGGAAAGAGCAAAAACTCGTTCCCCACAGAAACGACCTCAACGCCGACATGCCTAGAAGCCCCCACTAAAACGCCGGGCACCGACACTATAGAAGGGGAAAACTGGAAAAATACAAAAATTTTTAAAAAAAATTGGGATTTCATTAAAACTTAAACAGCCCCAACCCCAAAAACAAAGGAGTCACATATTTTATCGTCTACCCGTCCCCATCATAGGAAAACGTTTTTTTTGATAAAAAACCTGCCTTTGCATGAGCCATAAAGGGTTTTTCGTGTTCCCCCATTCTTATGTTCTTTGACATTCCTCAGGTCACGTGCGTCACATCTCACTCTCCGCCTATATAAATAATGTGTTTCTAACCTCTGTATGTTAGAAGTGGATCAAGGTCCCAGGACCGAAACGTTTTCTAATAAATATGTTATAGTGTTTGCTTACGTGTCTTTCTAAACCACTTGTCGGTATTTATTACCAAGATTTATACCATATATATATATATATATATATATATATATATATATATATATATATATATATATATATATATATATATATATATATGTCGTGCTGAATAGGTAAGACTTGCGACTTTGGCTTAAATAGCAATGCTCTTCTTGCTGAATAAGGCACGCAAAAATTTGTGTATGTAATAATTTCGCAAAAAGTCATTCTTACTCTAAATAAAAAATATATTTCATTGTATTTGTTTATTATTAAACTTATCAAAATATATTTAGGTGGATTAGGCTAAATTAAACTGCGCTTGTTATAATAAAGTTAGGTAAGTTTTCTAAGGTTCATTTGATACAAAATTATTAATTTTTACATTAATATCTTTAAACGTAGAAGAGAAAATTTTAGGAAGGACTTAATTTTAAATGGGTTCTTGCTAGCTGACCAATTTCACCTATTCGGCACGACATATTATATATATATATTTATGTAAATATATATATATATAATATATATTATATATTTATATATATATATATATATATAATATATATATATATATATATATATATATATATATATATATCCTAGGTAGTAGGTTGGTAGACAGCAAACCGCCAGGGAGGTACTACCGTCCTCCCAAGTGAGTTTTAAAACGAAAGCCTGTAATTGTTTTACATGATGGTAGGATTGCTGGTGCCCTTTTTTCTGTCTCATGAACATGCAAGATTTCGGGTACGTCTTGCTACTTCTACTTACACTTAGGTCACACTACACATACTGTACAAGCACATATATACACCCCCCTCTGGGTTTTCTTCTATTTTCTTTCTAGTTCTTATTCTTGTTTATTTCCTTATCTCCATGGGGAAGTGGAACAGAATTCTTCCTCCGTAAGCCATGCGTGTTGTAAGAGGCAACTAAAAATGCCGGGAGCAAGGGGCTAGTAACCTCTTCTCCTGTATATATTACTAAATGTAAAAGGAGAAACTTTCGTTTTTCCTTTTGGGCCACCCCGCCTCGGTGGGATACGGCGGTGTGTTGAAAGAAGAAGAAAATTTTATATATATATATATATATATATAATATATATATATTATATATATATATATAGGATGGGGTCCACCTCTGGTGTAAATTGTGGGACCCATAGCCTCGGAGAAGTGCATAAAAAGGCTTCAAGTAAGAATATTTGGATTTCTTCCTTAAGCCGTTTGAATATTCCACTTCCCCTACAACCCCATCTATTAGTATATATTTTTTTTTTACCAATAGGAATATTTTATTACATAATATGGTACAGAAGACTTAAGAGATACATTGTTGATATAAAGGTGGCATATAAGGTACATGTTGTTACGTGTGTATCACCAATTATAAGGCGAAAATCTCATCCAGCTCCTCAGAGCTGGGGCGTGTGCCCAAAATACAGCAGGCATTACCCCTTTGAACAGCCGCACTGAGCCGCTGGAACAGAAAACTAGCTGCCCTGGGATCCCTAGTTAACCTGATGAGTCTTTTTCCCAGCTCCTTAAGGAATTTAGATGCATTCTTTCCCCATGAGCCAAGGGTCTCTGAGCCTATGGGAACAAACATATAATGATGGGCAAGTTCTCCATATTTTCTAGACTTTTGGGACTCCCTGAAGCTGGCAGCTGCCCCTCCTTCCTCCCTGGTGTATTGGAGATAGGTATCAGCCAAGGTAGATGCACATGTATAGTCCCACACCACCTGCTTCCCATCTGTCCAGGCTTGAAGGGTGATACCATCTGGACGCTTCTGGCTGCCATCAGATCTGCATAGTTGGGGTGGCTCCCTTACTGCTGGGCATCCAGCTGTTGTGAGGCTCCTCTTGATAATGTTATTAACCTCCTCATGTCTTGCAATCTTTCCCTCGGATTTAACGGCACACAAGACCATGGTACCCGAATCGGTCTGCTGCTTCACTGCCACAAATACACCTGTGTTCGGCGAGAATAGGGGCGGCAAGTCGAAGGGCAACACCGATGCGGATGGTCTGTGGCTCGAGGCGTGTGCCAAGGCTGGAGTTGGGAACAGCCAACAGAAAGTCCCCAGCATGAGGGGCTTTCACTGCCAGGAGGCGGGCTCTATCCTTCCCTGACACACTCTGAAGCATTGTTGAGGCTATATTTTCCACTATTGGACCATCCCAGTGCGATTGTTTGTAGTTGTTGGGGGGGAACAGGTCTGGTTTCAGAGCCCGTTAGATTATCCCAGATCATTGCTCCGTCAATGAATTTTTGGTCCTGGACTCCAATCTTGTCCCTAAGATGTTCAGGGAGAATCGCTGCTACAAGCTCTCTGGATGCAATACACGAGGACAGAAAAGCAGGTAACGCAATCTGTGATGACTTGCGGACACCAATGCCTCCTAGTCTGACTGGAGTGTAGCTTGGTTCCACTGCCCGTCTTCTAGAGTAAGGTTAAGTACTTTCGTAAAAATCTGCCTCAGAATACTGTCATATTCGTGCAGTATAGGGTTATTATATGAAGGTGCACATCTTAGGAAATATGTCAACCTGGGCAGACTCAAGCACTTTGTGAGAAGGTACAAGGCATCGTGGGTGTCCAGATTGCCTATTCGTTGTTCCATTCTCCTTAACTCTTCCAATTTCTTCCTGAGAATTGTGTCAATGGCATTGCTTCCCAGAGGTGCTCCTAGCAAGACACTATTTGTGGGGGCAATGACTGCTGCTCCTGGTAGTTTTGATCTCACTGCATTTATCACTTGTTGACTGACTGAGATGATTTCACATTTGGATGGATTCAGGACGAGACCCATTTCCTGTCCCCGTGTCATTACCTGTGTAAGGTCATGTAGGAGGGACTCCTTTGTACCTGCTGTCAAGTGAAATTTATGACTGACATGTCATGCATAGATTAATTCCTCACAAATTCTATTAATAAATTAAAATCATTTATGTAACTGAACTTATATTCATATTAAAATCAATACTATTTTCTCTCAACTATATTTCTCTCAACTATACACCTGCAATCGTTAGGAACCACTCAGGAACATTAGCTACGAATTACAGTCACAAATAACCACTTAAGAACATTAGCTACGAATCACAGTCACAAATAACCACTCAGCAACACCGGTTACCTTTCTAAATGCTCTGGAAATACTCACAAACACCACTTACCATTCACGGTTATCAGCAACTGTTCTGAAAATGTATGAGGAACTCATCAGCACAATCTGCTACTAGCAGCAACTCAGAACACTAACATCTATCAGGAACACTAGCTACCACTCACAGTCACAAGCATCTCTTAAGAATACCGATAACCACTCAGCAGCACTAGCTACGATTCACAGAAAAAACAACATCTCAGGAACATCAGCTATTGCTGATGTTCCTGAGCAAAGACTCAGGAACATTAGCTGCGACTTACAGTCATTAACACTCAGGAAAATACGCTCCACTCAGAGTCAGTATCAATTACTCTAGAACACTAGTTATTATTCACTGTCGCTAGCAAACCCCAGGAACACTTGCAACCACTCACGAACACAAAGTACCTCTCACAGTCAATATCAGTTACTCAGAACACTAGCTGTCGCTCAGTCACTAGCAACCACTGAAGAACCATAGCTACCAACACATCATCACCTGTAGCCTGCACGTTCCTCCTCTGCAGCATAGTGTTCACTAGAGCAACTTCGGCAGCTACGTCCTCATCTTTGTCTACTTCGTCCCCAGCGTTCACCTGAGCCTCCACACGGCCTCTCACTCGCCACCACATCTTCCTAAGGGTGACAAAATTAAGAGTGAGTTACTTCATTTATTTGCTAATATACTGTTCATTAGGCGCAAATGGTGCAAGTCTGAATACAGTTCGCTGGTGTAAAAACAGATACGGTGTGACGAGCTCTGCAGCAAATGAATATTTCTTGCAAGAAGAATAACAGGAAGGTAATAAATTTTGTATTGAAATAACTGAGAAAAGGCAAACTAGTAAATGATTTAGTCGTACGGTATGTTGTGTAGGCAACATAAATCGAAGGGAATTACAGTTTTTGTGTGTGTAGTGGTATGGCCTTGACTGATTGAAGTCAGAAACCATTTTATCTACTTAAAGAATGGATTTCTGATTTTATTATTACTTGGGGTTTATAGACATTACAAAGCGAGACTGACATTTGTTGATTAATCTACAATCACACAAAACAGAGCAACATGAAGTACATCAGATATCTGATGTACTACAAAATGAATTGTTTATCACTAAATATTTTTCACACGTTCCATCATAAATTTAAAAATAATCACTTAATACCTGATTCCTCGCAAAATATCCAACCTCAGTCTATTATCAGTTGCACATTACACTGATCAATAAAAAAAATCGTTGCCAAAGATACTGGAAGGTATTTAGGTATTTTGGTGTTGCTGAATTCGATAATGGCGGCAGGTTTTTCAAATTGGCTCTGATTTGTGACAAATTGTATATTCAGATAGTTTTTTCAAAGATCAGAATTTTATTTTTAAATCATGTAATATTTAACAAAAGTTCCATCAAAAATGATCACGTGAGTGTATTGAAGCCTTTTTTGTTATTTGTCCCAGATAAACATGAGTTCTTCACGAAGAGTCTACTTAAACAATTCTAATGCATTTTGCTTTGTTTTTGGCAAACACTGGAAAAAAAAAAAAAAAATATCAGAAATTTTGTATAGTAGGCTTATCTTGCATATTGTAATAATGTTGGTACAATTACCGATAATATGTAAAGTAAAACGGCACAAGTGCAACTAATGTGACCTTTTATTGTGGCAACGTTTCGCTCTCCAGAAGCTTTGTCAAGCCGTTACGGCTTGACAAAGCTCCTGGAGAGCGAAACGTTGCCACAATAAAAATTTCACATTAGTTGCACTTGTGTCCTTTTACTTTACTTATCTTGCATATTTTAGAGTTGGCACTTGGAGACAAAGACAAGTTTTGAGCTCCTCATACAGTCTGCAGAACTATCCCCAAGTTGGTGTAATATCATTGACCAGAAAATGAGTGTTGCCAGTTAATCACTGCAGCTTGATAAGCTGAAACATTACTAGAGTCAAATTTCTGTGTATCATTAACCTCTGAATGCATGTTTCTTATTACACCTCATAGGACTGGTTTGGAATGTATAATTCAGGCTTGTTGGACGCACTGCGTCCAATAAGCCTGACCCGCTGAAGACCTACACAAATTTCGCTCCTATATTTCCAGAAACACTGACACAATGTGACCCATAAACTTTCTATATTAATGCCCTCTGAGTTTAATGGGCATTTTATATTATGATACAAGTTTCTTGACAACTCAAAATACAAATAACTCACATATAGGAGAGTGAAACTAGTCCAAATCGGACCGAAATGTCGTCATAAGTTTCATTCTCATGTGTGTGAGTTATTGGTGTATTGTTCGATATTGTGCCTTTATTTTCTCTCCTTGACAACTCAGTTGGAACTCACGAAAATATACTGGTGTACCCAGCTTCAATAACGACCAGGATTGCAAAGAAGACGACCCCGTTGATGAAGAGTGTGAGCAGGTCAGGTGCCATGGCATACTTGTCTAGCATGAAGTACGACTTTTCCTCAAAGCATTTCTTATGGCCGACTTCTGCGCACATTGCTAAGGGAGGTTAATTCACAGTAGATAAGTACAATGAGTTGCATGTCGCATATACTTGTCAAATATAGTATATTTACAACATATACACAACGTTAATGTACAGAGCTACAGAAATACACACACACACACACACACACACACACACACACACACACACACACACACACACACATAAACACACACACACACACACACACACACACTCATGTGCAGGGACCTTACCAGACACTTGTGGGGGCCAGGAACAGGTGAGCAGGAAGGACAAACCAATGAGCATAGGGGCCACAGCTAGGGAAGGGACTGAAGGAAGGAACACTCCACAATAAGGAACTAAAACACCTCAGGATGCAATGGGAGTCACAGTGGGAGGTGGAAAGGGAGAGATCAGTTTTTGTCTATGGGCTAGACGAAGCTGAAGGGGAAACTTATGATGAAAGAAAGCAGGAGAAAAAAGCGATTGAAGGTATCATGAAGGTGATAAGCGAGGGAGACATGACCCAGGTGGCAAATTTTCGGAGAATCGGGTGGTTCACAAAGAGAAGGAAACGGCCTCTCAAAGTAATTTTCAAGGCAGAATCAATTCGAACCATGATCCTGTAGGAGAAAGCACGGCTGAGAGGCAAACAGGAGTTCATGAGTGTGTACCTCGATCGAGATAGAACACAAGAGGAAAGGATGATACTGAAAGAGAGTGCAAAAACGAAAGGAGGAATGGGAGGAAATGACAAAGAAGAGCAGAATAACCCAGGCACAGGTGGAAGGACAAGCACACCCCCCAGAAACACCTGCAGAAGGACTCCAGCCACGACACCCCCAAGGCAACTGAACAATCCAAACCAACCATCACACACCGATCCCTCTGTTCCCACCCCCCGCACCACGAGCCCTACCCCTACAGCAACCCCCTATGGGAGCTCTTCCTCCACCTCCACTGCAACCCCCCACAGACCCCCACCAGGGCTCCTGCTCTCCCAACCCCAGTATTCCCCCAGGACCACAGTTACAGTATTAAAACAGAAGTTGAAGGTTTTGTACACAAATGCGGATGGATTAACGAATAAATATGAGGACTGGCAAGAAAGAATCAATGAGAAGTCCCCAGACATCATAGCAGTTACAGAAACAAAACTCACAGAGACAATAACAGATGCAATCTTCCAACCAGGATACCAGATCATGAGGAAAGATAGAAGGGGCAGAGGGAGAGGAGGGGATGCTCTGCTCGTAAAAAGCAGATGGAAATTCGAGAAAATGGGAGGCATAGACGAGACAGGAGAAAGGAACTACATAGTAGGTACACTTCAGTCTGGGGAGCACAAGGCAGTCATTGCAGTGATGTATAATCCACCACAGAACTGCAGGAGGCCAAGAGAGGAATATGAATAGAGCAACAGAGCAATGGTGGACACACTTGCTGAGGTGGCAAGAAGAGCTCACTCCAGCAGAGCAAAGTTGCTGGTTATGGGGGATTTCAACCACTGGGAGATTGACTGGGAAAACCTGGAGCCACATGGAGGTCCCGAAACATGGAGAGCCAAGATGTTGGATGTGGTGCTGGAAAACCTCATGCACCAACATGTTAAGGACACTACCAGAGTGAGAGGGGAGGATGAACCAGCAAGATTGGACCTTTTGCTCACTCTGGGCAGTTCAGACATTGAGGGCATCACATATGAGAGTCCTCTAGGAGCTAGTGACCACGTGGTTCTGTACTTTGAATACATAGTAGAGTTGCAAGTGGAGAGAGTAACAGGAGTTGAATGGGAAAAGCCAGACTATAAAAGAGGGGATTACATAGGTTTGAGGAACTTCCTGCAGAAGGTTCCGTGGGACAGAGAACTGGCAGGAAAGCCAGTAAATGAAATGATGGAATATGTAACAACAAAATGCAAGGAGGCAGTGGAAAGGTTCACTCCCAAGGGCAACAGAAACAATGGGAAGACCAGAACGAGCCCCTGGTTTACTCAACGGTGTAAGGAGGCAAAAACAAAGTGCAATAGAGAATGGAAAAATTACAGAAGGCAGAGAACACTGACTGAGACTGAGGACAGAAGGTGGAGAACTCACAAGAAATGATCAGGAGGTATGTGAGGAGCTAAACAGGAGATTTAAGGAAGTTTTTACAGTAGAGACAGGAAGGGCTGTGGGAAGACAGCACAGAAGGGAACATCAAGAGGGAATATACCAACAAGTGTTGGATGACATACGAACAACTGAGGAGGAGGTGAAGAAGCTCTTAAGTGACCTTGACACCTCAAAGGCGATGGGACCGGACAACATCTCCCCGTGGGCCCTTAGAGAAAGAGCAGAGATGCTGTGCGTGCCTCTAACCACAATCTTCAACACATCCCTTGAAACTGGGCAACTACCTGAGAAATGGAAGACAGCTAATGTAGTCCCCATATTTAAGAAAGGAAACAGAAACGAGGCACTAAACTACAGACCTGTGTCTCTGACATGTATTGTGTGCAAAGTCATGGAGATTATCAGGAGGAGAGTGGTCGAACACCTGGAAAGGAACAAGATTATAAATGAAAACCAGCATGGGTTCATGGAAGGCAAATCTTGTATCACAAACCTCCTGGAGTTTTATGACAAGGTAACAGAAGTAAGACACGAGAGAGAGGGTTGGGTAGATTGCGTTTTCCTAGACTGCAGGAAGGCCTTTGACACAGTTCCCCACAAGAGATTAGTGCAGAAGCTGGAGGATCAGGCACACGTAAAAGGAAGGGCACTGCAATGGATAAGGGAATACCTGACAGGGAGGCAGCAACGAGTCATGGTACGTGAAGAGGTATCACAGTGGGAGCCTGTTACGAGCGGGGTCCCACAGGGGTCAGTTCTAGGACCAGTGCTATTTTTGATATATGTGAACGACATGATGGAAGGAATAGACTCTGAAGTGTCCCTGTTCGCAGATGACGTGAAGTTGATGAGAAGAATTAAATCGGACGAGGATGAGGCAGGACTGCAAAGAGACCTGGAGAGGCTGGACATGTGGTCCAGTAACTGGCTTCTCGAATTCAATCCAGCCAAATGCAAAGTCATGAAGATTGGGGAGGGGCAAAGAAGACTGCAGACAGAGTATAGGCTAGGTGGACAAAGACTACAGACCTCACTCAGGGAGAAAGACCTTGGGGTGACCATAACACCGAGCACATCACCGGAGGCACACATCAACCAAATAACCGCTGCAGCATACGGGCGCCTGGCAAACCTGAGAATAGCGTTCCGATACCTTAATAAGGAATCGTTCAAGACACTGTACACTGTGTATGTTAGGCCCATACTGGAGTATGCAGCACCAGTCTGGAACCCACACCTGGTCAAGCACGTCAAGAAGTTAGAGAAAGTACAAAGGTTTGCAACAAGGCTAGTCCCAGAGCTCAAGGGAATGTCGTACGAGGAAAGGTTAAGGGAAATCGGACTGACGACACTGGAGGACAGAAGGGTCAGGGGAGACATGATAACGACATACAAGATACTGCGGGGAATAGACAAGGTGGACAGAGATAGGATGTTCCAGAGAGGGGACACAGGGACAAGGGGTCACAACTGGAAGCTGAAGACTCAGACGAGTCACAGGGACGTTAGGAAGTATTTCTTCAGTCATAGAGTTGTCAGCAAGTGGAATAGCCTAGCAAGTGAAGTAGTGGAGGCAGGAACCATACATAGTTTTAAGAAGAGGTATGACAAAGCTCAGGAAGCAGAGAGAGGATCCAGTAGCGATCAGTGAAGAGGTGGGGCCAGGAGCTGAGTCTCGACCCCTGCAACCACAATTAGGTGAGTACAATTAGGTGAGTACACACACACACACACACACACACAGGTTTGTACCCAAGGGTAACAGAAATAACGAGACCAGGATGAGCCCTTGGTTCACTCAAAGGTGTAGAGAAGCCCAAACCAAGTGTGCTGGCGAATGGAAGCAGCATAAAAATCAAAGGACCCAGGACAATATGGAGAGCAGTCATAGAGCCAGAAATGAATATGCACAGGTAAGAAGGGAGGCTCAACGACAGTACGAAAATGACATAGCAGCGAAAGTCAAATCTGGAGAAAAACAACAGTCAATGACCAGGTAATCAGGCTGAGGAAGGAAGGAGGGAAGACCAGACGAAACGAAAGAGAAGTATCAGACGAGCTCAACATGAGATTCAAAAGTTGTGTTCACAGAATAGACAGAAGGGACTCCTGAGGTGGGGTACACCATCAAGTGTTGGACACAATACATACAACCAAGGAAGAAGTGAAGAGGCTGCTAAACGAGCTAGATCCCTCAAAGGCAATGGGGCCAGATAATATCTCTCCATGGGTTCTGAGAGAGAGAGAGCAGAGGCGATGTGTATTACTAACACCAATCTTCCACACATCTATCGAAACAGGGTGACTACCTAAGGTATAGAAGAGAGTAAATGTAGTCCCATTTTTTTTTTTTTTGAAAGGAGACAGACACGAAGCATGAAACTATGGACCAGTATCACTCACATGTACAGTATGCAGAGTCATGGAGAAGATTATCAAGAGAAGAGTGGTGGAGCACCTAGAAAGGAATGAGCTTATCAACGGAATCAACACAGTTTCAGGGACAGGAAATCCTGTGTCACAAACCTACTGGAGTTCTATGACAGAGTGACAGCAGTAAGACATGAGAGAGAGAGAGAGAGGAGTGGGTAGACTGCGTTTTCTTCGACTGTAAGAAGGCTACAAAGGGATCTGGACAGGCCGCATGCCTGGTCCAGAAACTGGCTGCTGGAGTTCAACCCCACCAAGTACAAAGTCATGAAGATTAGGGAAGAGCAAACAAGACTGCAGGTGGAGTACAATATAGGGGGCTAGAGATTACAAACCTCACTCAAGGAAAAGGCTCTTGGGGTGAATATAGCACTGGACACATCTGAGGTGCACTTAAACCAAATAAGATATATGCAGAGGCCATAACAGACGACAGTGGTGCCTAGGAAAGGATGAGAAGGAAAAATGACTGACCACCGAGTACA